AATACAATCAATTCCGTGACACTTAATGAGGTTTACATAACTTGGTTTCAAAAACACATTCAGATCTAAAGATTATACTCTACTGAGAGGTGTTTACAACTGTTTTACATATTATTGTAATTTATATATAAATAAATCAAAAGTAAAATATATGTATAAATATTTAAATATATCGGTCAAACATTTTGAGCTAAAATATATGATTAAATAAATTAGAAAATGAATATAATTTTTCTAGAAATAAATGACTGAAAGTGGGTGTATATGTTATGTAACTTACGTTAACATAAAATTTGTGTTTTCACTCGTAATAATCAATACATTTAATTATTAAATCAAAATATATGATAACTTATATGTTTTTGGATCACAATTAAGCGATTTGTGTGTCTTTTCTTATCATTTTCCTCGAGAAAACAGATCTTTTAAATTACTTTTAGTTTGTTTTTATAAAAGACTAGACTTTAAAAACATAAACACAATAGCAGTGCAGTCGCTAATACTTTGGCATAGATTTGACATTAGATTATCATATATTTGTTTTGTAATTATTTAAGTTTTAAAAATAATATATATTTAATATACAGTATATTTTTGGTGTTACTTTCAATTTTGATAATAATTATAGAGAACTTAGAGGAATGTCCTGTAAATCAGAAACAAAAAGCAATTAGTAATCAATTAACAAATTAATGAATAAAACAATAGTAAACAAAGAGATGATTACCCGATCATTAATATTGAAGTCGACTTTCTTGATGTGGTCGACCTCCGGGTCGTCATTATTGAGTTGATGTGCGGCACAACTCGACTCAAAAGTTGCTGTCTTTTTGGACTCATTTGGTTGATAATGAATTGACTGATCGGTGATGTGGTTGTGATGAAGGCCTGTATATATGTCTGTTCCGTTACAAATGGATGACTTTATGAGTGAATTGTTTATGAATTGATTATATGGTAAATGTGAAGACGAAGGACTGATTGGAGTCTTATTGCTTAGACTTTGCATTAAATTAATTTCTGTGGTATTTTGTGCATCAGTTAAACAATCACTTATTGAGTCAATTGAATGGCCATTAATTCCGTTAGTTTTATCGATAACAGCGTTCATCACATCAATGGTAATACTTTGCGCCAAATTTTTAGCAAAAACGTCTAAATCGTGGACTTTTTCGCTGTTTTCAATAATTACTTGTTTGGAGACCAATGGCTGAGATTCAATGTTAACTAATGTATAGTTGACTTGAGAGCAGCAGCTCTTCTGTTTGACAGTGGTTTGGGTTGTCTGGGGTTTGGGTGTGTTTTTGAAGCTGTCTTTACGACAGGGACAGTACGACTGCGACGATTGGGTTCGCTTTGCGTTCAACTTCTTGGGCTTCGCGTCAATGAGTTGCTGAATGTAAGCGGAGTTGTCTTTCTCGGTCTTCTTGAGCTTCTCCTTGAGGTACGCGACCTCGTGTTCCAGATCTTCCACCCGTAGTATCAATATATCGATCTTATGCTCGCAATGAGTCCTCTCTTTCTCGCATACATTCAGCGTTTGGATCATCTTTTGCTGCGATTCGTCGATCACTGACTTAATTATCTGAAAGACTCGCCACAAACGCAACACTATTATCAAAAGTGTTGCCTCTTTTCCACCACTTTTGTCACGAAAGTCATGCAAATAGAAGACAAGACTTAAAACAAATACTATGTTAACGAGTATTGCGTCCAATAAGTCAAACGGTTGTACAAAGAGTTTGCTTTTTCCGCTATATATGCGAAACAAAACCTATTTATTGGCAGAGAATTGCAAATGTATTATATTTTTGGTCATCATTTTTGTGAATGCATTTCAATTTCTTACTTCAATGAAGAAAAACGATATAATTGTTAATGAGATATACGTTAAGAAATGTCTGGTTGTGATGAGAGTTGGGCTCAATTGTATGGATGAAGTGGTGTTACCATCGGTTGTATTGGTATTATTTGTGCAGTCACTCAATGGTCGCCAATTTGGGTCTTAAATGGTTAACAATTATCATGTATTAAACAAATCATTTCCATATTATATATTAAATGTCAATTGAATCAAATGTTGTGTCCAAACCTTGGATCCAATGGGAATCGATCAGCACTTGCGATACGATGACAAACGTGTCCAACAAAACCAATACAACGATCAGACCATTGAATAGTCTTGAATTCAATACTTTCCAAATACGGACGACAAGTCTTCGGACAAAACAATCAAACCATTAATTCATTGGTAACTCAAGAGGAATAGTGAGCCCACAAACAAAGGTAAGGCCACAAGAGATATGAATGAGTATTACTTGCGGTTGTGATCGTCAGCGTTGAGGTCGAGTCCGGCGAACCCCCAGAGCGACGGATCAGATGTACGGATCAAATGCTCTTTACTTTGAAACATAACTCTTGGCGTCAATTAAATGAATCCATTGTTTGTCTCTATTTTGTGGACACTTTTTCTTTGACCGCATTTTTTCATTATCACAGAAAACGATACAAACTATTGATATAATAAATGCTTTCAATTCAATCACTCATTAATTGGTTTACAAAACAATTGAATCGTTTAATCAAAACACAAATTGAATGACAAAATTATTTTTCAATTTTCATTCATAAAAACAAATGTATTATTATTTGCGTTAAAAATACTATTATTTCATTACAACTCTATGTCTGACAGTCTCTGACAATGCGCTCAACTCTGCCCTCTATTGCACACACTTTCAGTCCTATACTTATAGGAATCGTGCGATTATTCAATACATTACATGTAATACACAATACTATTCAATGGCATTACATATTCTGCATATACTGTATAGAGTACTGTATTATATGCCTATTCCTCTGTCTATTACAGAATATCTCATATATTCTGTTATATTACACGATATTAATGTCAATTTCAATACCACAATGTATTCAACAAATTATTGCTTGTTTTGCAATTCTTGTGATGTTTTCTTTATGTATAGATTCTTTTGCATGAATTCAATAATATATTTATTAATAATTAATTTTAATACTAATAGAGAGTAATAGAGTTGGAGATCAGAAAATCAGCAAATATTACATTTCCTATACTTTTAGTATAGAATCAAATGTTTATAAATATTTAGTTTTCTTATAAAAAATTCTTTAATTTAAGCAAACTTTGGTTTTATGATAATTAAAATCAATATTTACAATACTATATGTATTTCCATACTTACGTACAGTGAATATAAATTTAAATAGTTTTCATAAGCTATCATAAATTAATATTTAATCGGCCAATAATGTTATGAACATCGCCTCGCTTTATAACTCACAAACGAAATGAGTTAGGTCAAATCTGTAAAAAGTCAAATAAAGTTCCATATGTCTAGTTTTTTTGTATAAAAAAGTATTCAAATCACGTAATTAGAAGTTTTGTATGAATAATATATGCCGAAGTCATGGTTTGAGCCTAACTTACGGGGGGTGTGAGGGGTGGGAGGGGGCGTGTATGCCATTCATAAGAGAAAGTGTCTAAGTCTATGACACCAAATTTTGATCATATTGATTGAAGCCATCTCCACAAATTGGACAATTTGTTAACTTTACGTTTATGGAGAAAATTGGTATAAAGTCTGTTTAAAAAGTATAAATACAACATTTTGCAAATTTTCTATTATTAATTCAAAGCTATGTCATTCCAAATATTATGTCAAATTTCTCGAATTTATTGTTTGTTACAAATAATATTTATTTGATTTACTGTATATCAAACTTTGGTATTATAGACTTCGACACCTCTTCTTATGAATGGCATACCCGCCCCCTTCGCCCCCTTCGCCCCCTTGAAGGTAGGCTAAGACCATGACTTCGGCATATATTTCAAAATTTTTATGATTTAGTCGTGATTTGAATAATTTTTATACAAAAAATAGACATGGAACTTTATTTTACCTTTTATAAATTTGATCTAGCTCATTTTGTTTGCGAGTTATAAAGAAAGGCGCATAACATTATTGGCCGCTTAGATAATCAAATTAAATTCAATGAAATGTTTTCTAAACATTAATGTAATATTTTCATAAGAAAATACTTATTATTCAAGAATTAGACAAAAGTTAATTACCATAACGTATTTACCATACATGTTATAAAATATTAAATATGATAAATTGTAAGAAATATGTGAAAACCTTGCGTTGCATTTCAGTTGTAATGTATTTCTTTACAACAAGAAATAAATTGTTGAAAATAAAAGTTTTTATGTGACTTTCGTCTCATTTGGGTCACAGTTTTTACACACAGTTTATGGCTTTTACTTTGAAAACAAAAATCAGTCAATCATTAAAATGTCTAATATTTCTAATCATATTATCATTTAATTGGGTTTAAAATGTAAAAACAAAACAAACAATATTTTGTTTGTTGATTAGAAATGAAGCAGTCATTGGATTTGAGAACAAATCATTTCCGTAATCCAAAAGCCATTAACTAATATTTTTGACAAAAGCCCAATAAATACTCATTGATTGATGATTTTCCTCTCAATTAAATTGTTTGTTTGGTTTTGTGTTAATTCCTTGTAATGTCTTCTGACAAACACTCAAAGAAGATTTAAAAGTTTTTAATTATCCGCTATTGTTATGAAAGTGTAGAATAAAGTATCCGCTCTATAATGATGTTAAAAAAGTCATTTCGATCACTGATCACAATATATCAACAAATCTATAATACAGTAATAAAAGCAAAAATCATAACTTCCTTTCTATGGGAACATTTAAAAACTCACCAAAATACTGTATGTAAATGTATTTTTGTAATAAATGATGCAAAGAATATTTTAAATATTAAAGTTGCAATAATACAGTAAAATATCGTATGAAAAAGTAAACTATAATTAAATTAATGTCTATCACTAATAAAATATAGCCTCTAGATCTAGATCTAGATCTAAATGTAAACAATAATTAAAATCAAAGTCACTTAAGTATAAATGGGAAGAATAAATGTTAAGTCTGTTCACTATTTAATGTTCTCGAAGAGGGGGCAAATTTAATTGATGTTCACAATAAGTTTTTCAAAACAAGTTTTTGTTCATTTAGAATAATTCTAAATTATTGTAAACACAGTGTAAAGTTTACACTGTAAACAATGTACACAATGTAAATGTAAACAATTTAGCATGGTCAAATATTCTTAATGTTACATTTAAAGCGTTGAAAATGTAAAAATATGACTGATTAGTCAATAAACAAATTAATCATTTCATGTGATGATGAAAGTTGCAAAAACCGTATTACCATGTTAAATTAAACATGTAAATTACTTTTAAAATTGATAATTATTATACAGTAATATTCATTATTCTTTGGATATTTTTTATAATTAAAAATTATAAAAACAACTATTTTTTATTTAATTATTTATTATCGATTTTATCGTATTTTTAGAGACATTTTTCGCGAAATCATAAGTTGTTATATTACAGGAAGAAATAAAGCGATGAAATGGTATCACATTTTAGTGAACACTTAAATATATTTATGACATGTTTGAATGATTTGTAATGCTTTCTAACGTTTTAATCCTAATATCACAATTGAAAACAGTATTAAAGCAATTGGTATTTCTAATCGTAGACTTGAGTTATTTGAAAACGATATCAAATGAGCCACTTTTGCACCGGAGTCTGAGGTAAAGTCTTTGACGTTATTCCAGGTGCCGTTGTTTGGCTTCGGATCGATTCCCAATATATAACATAAATAGTTGTAGTGATCGGTCATCATTAGCGGCCCAGACGTGTAGTTCTTCTTAAATCCTATCAAATATACCACAATATTTGCAATCAATTGGTTTAACAACTCATTGCCACCCGTTGTGGCCATACATACCGGGGCCGCGCGCGTACATTATTGTCCGCATCTCTTTCACATCGTACGGATCGTAGCCGTGATGTCCGCTAAGGATTGCCATTTAAATTAGTTTATTTGTATGAAATAATGGTTTATTGTTATTATATAAATGTCTTGCCCGTAGAGCACATCCCAAACTGGTTTGGTTTTAGATTCCTGTGAAAACTAAATCACAAATTGCCAAAAATGCAAATTAAGTCATGTGTTTAGACAACAATAGTTTAATACCTACTCCTCTAACAAAATATCCTTTTTCGGCCACAATAAGTATCGGCGAAACTCTTCGGTTATTTTTAATATGATATTTAACAGGAATTTCGTCCTTTTTATAAAATTTCATTCCTTTTGTTTTGGATTTTTTCAATGCGTCCAAAATCTAAGAATAATATTTGAGTTTTACTTTGAATTTTAAATTCAAATTTAAAATAAAAAGAATATTTATATAAATATAAAAATGTTTTTGAAATACTGTGTGAAACTAACTTTTGCCTCTTTGTTAGCTTTGGGTATAATGAAAGCAGTGGTTCCCCTATCGAGCATCACTTCCACATCATCCACATTGACAATGGTCTCGATGTTAATCATTCTTGTATTCTTGTTCTCATCGATCTCTATCATCCCGTGATCGCTCACCACAACTATATTTACCTAATAGTCAAGCCATACATTTATTACAATAATTGTATTCATAAAAGTTTGAATATAATATATTCAATTAGTTTAAGAACTTTCTAAGCCTCTAAGAAAATTCTAAGCCTATTGTCAATTCACCTCGTTTTGTAAATTTCGTTTCTCGATCTCGTCCTGAAGAGTGGTTAAAATTTTATCAAACTCTTGGACGGCTTCGACGCGTTCCTTGGATTCTGAGCCGAACGCGTGTCCCATAGCGTCGATGGCCTCGTAATAGACGAGTCCGAAGTGCCAGTCGTCGGCCTCGAAGTTATCCAAAATTTCAAACAAGGCGTTCGTCGTGTCTTCGTTAGGGTTAGCCCACGTCCAGTAGCTCTGGTAACCCAAACAATGTGTGGGTTCTTTGCCTCTGATCTTCACCTGACAGCCGTCCCACCAGTAGACGCCTGTCTTGAGGCCGTGTTTCTCGGCGTTGATCCAAACGGGTTCGGCTCCGTTCCACCAGTGAGGGTGAGACGCGTTCGGGTGCGGAGACATCAGGAACAGGTCCTTCTCCTTCGGGTCATACATATAGTTCTGAACCATTCCATGACTTTCCCCATAAAGACCTGTTTAGCAATTGTTTGCTTTGTTTTTAGTTTTGTTTGTGACGAACACATTAAGCGATTGTGTAAATTGTTTTATTTGTTAAGTACTCTGTAATCGAAATGTGTGTTCACTGTATGTTTCAGTTTATCATCAAATCTTTTTTAATTATTTTTAATTTCTTTTTTGAAACGTTTGAACAAATCATGAATTTGTTGTATAAATAGAAAGTAATGGTTATTTCGAAAGTTTCCGCAGCTATTAATACAATAACCGCACGATTAGTGGTATTTAAACAGAAAAAACTTATCAAAACTGTTTTCGAAAAGATTTCAATGAATATATGAAATCAAAAATACTGTGCGAACAGTGAATAAAGAGAAACTACTTTTTTGTTTCACTTCTCGAGAGTAATCAAAAGAGTGGAGCGAATAATAAATAACTTAACGCTAATAATTGTCTTAAAACTTAATAATAATTATTGTTAAAAATAATAAATATTATGAATTAATAAAAATGCAATTTCTATAATAAATGACAATTAAATGCAAATTATAATGCATTTGCACTTAAACTCTAAGCTGGAGAACAGAAGTCAAAGAAACGGCTAATGATTGTCGGTTTGACCTCTTTTGATGAAAGTTTTGCGAGAGATTTTTTTTTTGGTTTTGGTTTTTGCTCTTTTCGTTCACAAAAACTTTCATTAAAAGAGGTCACAAATCATCGAAACATAAATAAAAACATTTTTATATCTATTTATGAGTGAAGAGCACACAAACCATCAAATAATTTACACCACTTTTTACACTAAACACATACTGAGAAAGAGAGTGGAAGAGAGATATAAATTAAAATTATATTTAGAAAATAAAATCCTTTCCTTAAAAATACTGACGAATTTAGAAAAATATTCTCATTTTCTAAAAATAATGCTTGAATTTTGCCGAAAGGCAAAGGTTTCAGTGATTACATAGAGAAAGGGAGAGAGCGAGAAAGAGAATGGGACCAAATGAGGGCGAGAGTGGAGAGAGTATGTGTGAAATAGCAGGTCATATGTCCAGTTGGATCGGGACTATCAGTGGCTCAAATGTCACCAAATAAAGTGCAACTCATATCACAAATAATGTCTGTATGGCTAATGGAAAGGTTAGTGGGTTTTGAGGTTAGTTTGACAGTAAGTCTTTTACAGGAAGTTTTACAGCCAAACACAAGTAGCAGTCAGTGTGTGTTAACTGACAATCACTTACCCGTCACTATAGTATACCAATTGGGATAAGAGTTGGCCGGAAATATGGGCTGAACATACTTCGCGCGGACACCGTTTTGGGCCATACGGCCAAAACCGGTCAGATTTGCATCATTCAAGTAATCATAACGAATACCATCGGCTAATATCAGTATAGTTTTTGGTCGTCTTCTCGAAACACTTTTGTCGCTAAACACTAACAATATATTTGTCGTCAAAAGTAAAAGCTTTAAAAACAGTTTCAATGAAAACATTTTACGTGCGAGAAAAACGGTTCTCAATATTTAGCCCGATTTTTATAGAACTAAATAAATAAATTAATGCCAAAAAAGTTTGCAAAAATTTCTCACTAATTCAGCCCCGAATTGAGACGATATATGTCAGACACGCCTCGGGGAAGGACTCCCAACACTACACACGCATTGCAAACGCCACGCGATTGGGATATACAGAGTGTGTTGAAAAACTTTTTCATATTACATGTTATGTGCTTTTGACTTGACTTTTCATCCAAAACCTTAATCTCAAGTCCTTTTCAATTCAAACCAATTAACTCCAGGAATCGAAACCAATTTATACCAAATTAATAAACAAAAACACATAATATAAACAAAAACCTCAAATGTTAATGTCTTACAGCACTGTATGACCACTTTCTGTGGCCTTAACACACGTTTTGCATTCAATTAAACGTAATATTAATTTCCGTTTTATTGTATTATGTATTTACCGGTAATCATAATAACAGTGTTTTATAATAATTTATTAAAAATGACAATTTTGTCGTCAATTAATTAAATTGTGAGAAATATCCGAAAACTGAGAAAATAAAATTAAAAATATTGTATTTATATAAAAACCATTAATTAGTGAGAAATACATGATTAAACATTTGATTTATTGGCAAGAAATCATCAATTCTTTGTCGAGGAATCCTTCAGCAAAACAGTTCGGTTGAAGACAAGTCTTCCGAGTCTGGAGTCGGGATCGACACTAAAAAAGCCCACTCTTTCAAACTGAAACTTGTCGTAGGGTTTGGCGTATTTGACAGACGTGTCCACAAATGCCTCTTTGATTATAGTCAGGGAATCGCGATTGCAATCCGAAATGAAACCATTGGGCACTTCGTTCGGGTCCTCAGGATTCTTGTGGTTAAACAAACGCTCGTAAAGACGAACTTCGCATACGATAGGAGTGGAAACCCATTGAATAAATGATTTCGGTTTCTCCACTTCAGACACTTTATGGCAAACGGCTTCTAATCTCTCGATTTCATTGCCGCCGGTCTTCACAACTTTGGTCACTTCGATCACATAACCCGAGTGTTTGAGACCAACCCTTTGCTTTGCTGTCAATCGCTTAAAGTTCTTATCAGTGGTCTCTTCAGCAAAATCCGAGCGATCGATAAATATCTCTCTTTCAAAAGGAACCAAATGATGAGATTTGATGCTCGGATCGGAGGGAAAGTCCGGAACCTCGATATAGATGGGCACTAATGGTGTTTCCGACGGGAAGTTTGTAATCCGCACTTTTAATGGATTCAATACAGCCATAGCTCGCGGCGCCGTTACGTTCAGATTATCCCTAACGATAGTGTCTAACATAATGGGGTCCACAACAGTGAGAGCACCCGTTAAACCCATTTTGGTAACGAATGAGTTGACCGCTTCCGCGGGAAAGCCTCGACGTCTGAGAGCTGTGAGAGTGAAGAGTCGGGGATCGTCCCAATCGGACACAATCTTCTCGTCAATGAGTTTTGCGATTTTGCGTTTAGAGACCACCGTATAGTTGATGTTAAGCCTCCCGTATTCCCACTGCACGGGACAGTAGGCGTCCACAGCATTGCAGAGCCAATAATAGGACGAACGGCGCGTTTGAAACTCTTTAGTGCACAACGAATGCGTGATATTCTCTATGGAATCGCATAAACAATGCGTGAAATCATAGGTCGGATAAATGCACCACTTGTTGCCCGTGCGGTGATGTTCAATGTATCTGATCCTATAGGCCACCGGATCCTGTTTGCCCTCTTCCAGAGTCAACTTCATCCGAAGGGTCGCCTCTCCTTCTGCCAGCTTTCCTTTCCTCATGTCTTCAAACAGTTTCAGACTCTCGACGACCGGTCGTGTCCTCCACGGAGACGGCGGAGGATTGAAACCTTTCAGCTCTTCTTGTTTTTGGTGACAGACGTACGCCAAGTCTTTGCGGATCAGATGAACGGCGTATTCGTATAACTGATCGAAATAATCGGAGGAATGCGTTATCTTAAAGGGTTTATATCCTAACCATTCGACCATTTCTTTGATTTCGCGAACAAATCTTTCCTCTTCTTTCTCGGGATTCGTGTCGTCGTATCGCAGATAACAGCAGCCATTGAATGCCTTCGCGTACCCGAAGTTCACGTTAACGGCCTTCGCGTGACCGATATGTAAGATGCCGTTGGGTTCGGGAGGGAAACGGGTCATCACTTTCCCGCCGATCTCTTTCACGTGCTTTGCGATCAAATCCATGGACTTATCGGTTATCACATATCCATCTGTTTTATAATTATCGCCCACTTTATGTAAGTGAGCCTTACTTTTGAGTAATTCAATAAAATCAATGCCATTGTCGGCCGTATCGTCGCAATTGTCTGTCGACTGATTCTTCGCTACGTTTACCACTTTATTGGCCTTTTCTTTGACGGGTTTCGCCAAATCCTTCTCATTCTTGGGACCCAAGAGTTCGAGCACTTGTCGGTCGACCTCTGTTTTGATGGCCTTTCCGTCGGCAAACTTTAAGTCTTTCTTCAATTGTCCCAAAAGTAATCCACAATTAAATCGATACCGATTTTCAATTAAATCCTTTTTATGCTTTTCAATCAATGACTTCACGTTATCCTTAATCTGTTGGTCACTAACAGTGACCCCAACTCCAGAACTGGACTCAAACGCCTTGATGTCGATACTAGCGGTTGGGTTTGAGAGGAGGTAATCGATGGCTGCGCTTAATTTGATCTCCGAATCGATCTTCTCTTTGGCGATATACTCGACAACAAGTGGTAAATGAGATCTGATCTGAAACTTAATGGTTGTCGCCGTTTGATAGATAAGTTTGCCAATCGTTTTGTTGAGTCCATTCCCGGTCTTCACGTATTTGTTTGTCTCGACAATCAATTCGCTCAGAGTTTTGCTTAAGGCATCGTTTTTGAGCGTCTCTTTGGCTTTGGATTCACTCAAACCGATTGACACAAACTGTTTCATCAACTCTTCGGCCATTTCTTCGCACAATTATCGGATCAAAGTCTATGGGAATCAATTCAAATACAATTGCATTAAGTTTTTAGTCAAAATCAATTCAAATTAAATGACTTACAAATCAAAAGTAATCCAATATTTTGAGTACAATATGGATATTATTAGTGACACAAACTTTTACCACAAAAATAAAGTTATAAATTATGTAATAATGGCTTAACTCTTGTGCCAAACACTGGACACAAACCACTGGTTGTTAAATGAAAGTAAATTATAATAAATTAAGGCTTAAATGAGTGGATATTTAAATGAATTTACATTTGATTTAGTGTTGAATGAGTTGTGAACACATGTGTGAACTCACGATGTGATCATTCAATAGCGTACTCAACATATGGTGTACAGCAATACATAGCGCACTGTATTCGTGCCAATGTGTTATGCATTGCGTTGTGTACAGCATTGACGCGATGTTAATCAATACCCGCATACAGTAATAATGTCACAAAACAAACAACACATATAACTCCCCAATACATAGAAATGCATTCAAATACTGTTAGTATTGAATGTCCCCCACGTGTGCATTCACTGCCATACTATATGACTGAAGTGTGATGTAAGAAGTGGTTTATGGCATTTAAATGGTATTGATGTGAATGTATTGAATGGATGGGAAATGTTTGCATTGAATTGCATGAGACGGACATCGAGTTTACAATACATTGCATAACAGTTGCAATCATTTCGTATGAATTGTCGTATTGTTTGACAGATAGACGAGTCATTCACTCGTCTATCACTGAATCAAATACAATGTATTGAATACAGTAATAGTATTGACAGCACAACAACATAGCATAGGAAGCAATGAAGTGACAGAATATTCTGATGGCATAAACATTGAGGAAATTAGTTGTGAAATGTTTAGGAAATCATTCATTTTTGGTTACAATTTATTAAATAAACAATATATTCATATGACGTAAACATCACTAGAAATACCATTGATTGTAATGTTTGACACAATCATCGATATTGTTATACAATGTATTGCATACATAGTTGACCACATATTAACTCTATGTAAATGGCGTTAAATTATATGAATTATTGTAAGAAATTAAAGACAAATTGATTGATTATTTTCATGTTTTAATATAATTAATAGTTTAATTAAACAATTTTCAAAACAATGAAATGAAACAATGAAAAGCTTTATTTTAATGGTTCAAAACAGAAGTAAGAGATCAATAAAATTTGTTTAACGTTTAAAATATGGCAAATTTTAAATATATTATAATTCAAGCAATTGAGTGACTAGTCGTCGATTGGGACCGGGTTTTAGTTAACATAGAATTAATAAATTTTAATTTTTCTATATATTATATATATATTTATATATTGTATTATAAATATTGTTTTTTATACTTAATCTCATAACTCAATCGTCTTTATGAATATAATTTTGCAAATAAACGAAATGCTATTTAAGTATAAAATGTTTTTGATTGAGAAATGAAATTCACTAAAACTTTTGTAAGAATACAACAACACTTAATAGTACTAATAATAGTCATTAAAAACATAGTTTTGAACAAATGGTTACAAACAATCAATTCTAATAAATAATGATTACAACAAATAATATTATAAAACATCAAAATCTTATGTAATGTTGATTAACATTTGATAACCATATTTAACATTACGGCCTTTAAAATCAGATAATAATTAATAATAATATATAATATATATAACGCACTAAATATAACAAATAATATTATAATATAATATATGAAGAAAGCAAAAATAGATGGAAATGCGTGTGAATTAATTGCACATTGAAATCAATCGATTGGTGGTAATTGATGGCATGACTGGTGATATTTGTTGCATATGTGAGGCCTCACGTCCCCATTCTGAGCAATACATGGCAATCAAACAACTCGTCAATCAATGCATAGAAATTGAATTTCAAATAAAACAAGAGATCGCTTACCGATGAGACGAGATTTTCTAGAAATGGCAAAAGTTTAAGTAATTCAGAGTCGCTTTTGTCCACAAACCAGCTCTCAATTGGTATGCCGTTCTCCAACTGCAACCAAATCAACGCATATATTAGTCACATATATAAATCAATAACGAGTGAAGCGTTCATTCATTACCTGATACCCAAAAGCCTGCGGAGAGTTATCGATAATTATAGTTTTAGACAAATCTCGGCCCAAAATGTTGAGATCTTTAATGTAATTACCGCTAACACAGACACAGTGTTCGCGGAATAATCGGAACCTTAAGATTTGGGACCAAATAATTCATAAAACATAAGCCAAACAAAAGCATTAAATGATTGATTAACGGATCGCTTACTTAACGAGTTTGCGGTTTGGGTCCAAAAGGTTGAGGAGTTTGTCGGCGTAAACCTTTTTAGAGGCCGTAAACAGAATTACTTCAAAGAGTTGCGAAACTGTCTCCAAGAAGTGGAGAAAGTAGGGTCGCGTCCGGACGTAGATCTTGTACTCGTTGTCCTGAAAGTTGACGGGAAAAGTGAACGTCGCGTCCGACAACTCGGTCAGAGAGCAGTGCACTAACGTCTCGTCCAAATCCAACACAAGCGTGAATTCAGGTGAACTCCTCGTCTTAAGGGGAAGTGCGGGACATCGGGACCGCATCTCCGGTGTTAGTGGGGGTAGACTTCTAATAAAATAATAGGGATCTAATGGTTCCCAATCTGTGGTCTCTTCGCTGCTGTTGTGATGGCATGAATGAAATGATGAATCGTATGATTGATTGCAATCTATTTGTACTCTCTTTTCGCTATTAATATCATTATTGTTGCTATCATTCAAATTATGGATCAATTGGTTAACATTCGGATCGTTAATATAGCCGTTGGTTTGTGGCAAACAATGAGAATCAATGGATTCATTGCAGTAGAAGTCAATGGGTTTGCTGTAAATGTTGGTCTCATCCGAGTTGTTGTCATTCACTTCTTCCAAACATTTCAATTGATTTGCATTTGTTTTGCGAGAATTCTTCATCAGATCTGACACTTCATTACCGCCGATGTTATGGCTGTGACCGCCGAAGACGGGCATCGCCTCAAACAACGACTTCTTCACTGTAAACAACTTCTTGGATCCATTCTTCCTGCGCTTCAATTGTGGCAAAACATCGAGAGATTCACACAATTTGTTGAAATTCTTCTTAATTTTAGCGATTTTCGTGAAACGAGTGCTCTTTTGGGCCGAAAATCGTTTACATCTTCTTCTGGTCTTCATTTGATTCAATGGTCTCTTAGTTTTACACGACTTCTCAGTACTAATCGCGGGAACCGTTGGCTCACGACTCAAATGTCTGAAGCGATCGCTGGAACCGATTCTCGGAGTCTTGGTCTCAACGGATGGCCGCAAATGTCGTGAGTTGTGACCCAATTTGGCGGACAATCGGGCTTTGGCTGAGCGTCGGAGGGATGGCCTCAAAGACGGCATCGCATTAGCCGTCAATCAAACCAAACAATTGATTACATAATTGCGTCAAAAACTGTGTAAACATTGACACAGAAATCATTGCAACTCTTTTTTGCGCCAAATGTCTCTCATTTAACGTTAAATACAGTTTTTGGCGATATTTTTGGTCACAATTTAGTGAATTGATTGTATAAACAGTGATATTATTGAATAAATGCCACTAATTGTGGACTAAATCAATAGAAGCGGTGATTGAGTGGTAATAAACAAAACAAATGTCAAAACCAAGTGATGTATCGATCAGTGAGTCTATGAGTCGACAGCCCTTTAAAAAATGGTCGAAACGCTTGAATCGCGTATCGCTTGACGTGACTCTCGCTCTCAATTCAAACATTCAATTCATTGCTTTCATGTCTTTCACGCCATATAGAGGTCGACACCAGTCATACCATTGCACACACTTTGGGTCACGAAATGCATTCCCGATTGCACTGTACGGACCGTACAAATGCAAGAATAATTATAATTGAAGAATGCATTGTAGACTTATGTAATGCATCATGTACATTTTCATACAATATTCTACATTATATGTTAATCCCATATTGAATTTGGAAATATTTATTTAAAACATGTTTATTTATAAGTCTAAATATTTCTCACCAGTAGTTATACAACAAATTAATTTAAAATTATTAAATACTCTTTCGTCTCAAATATCATATGTAAGAAATGTATAAGAAATTTGAATACATGTTAATATTCAATGTAAACCCCGTGTGTGTGTTAACGGGTGGTTACTATGAGATTAACACTGATTCTTAAGCCCATCCCTTGAAAACTAGACACTTATTAAGTCGAGAGAGAGAGAGAGATGTTTATAGCGATTTGAAAGTTATTTCTATAATATGATGATTTGAGTATAGATTGACTGATTGTATATCAATATTTGGAATGCATTTCGTGACCCAAAGTGTGTGCAATGGTATGACTGGTGTCGACCTCTATATGGCGTGAAAGACATGAAAGCAATGAATTGAATGTTTGAATTGAGAGAGAGAGAGAGAGAGAGAGAGAGAGAGGAGTAAATTTGTTACAATCCTTACGTAAACTAATATTTAATCCCTGGCTTTATAAGAGAATTGTTTGCATTTAATATGAACTATAAACTCTGTTTTTTGTAATTAAGAAAAGTCTTAATTCATGAATAAAAATGTATTTATCGATTAAAATAATTACAAAATAAACAAAAATGACAGACGAAAGCAAAACTACAATAATATTGCGCTAATGTATGAAAAAAGTATACGATTTATCATAAAAGAGGAGTTCAGAGAATTAAATATTTATCATAAATATTTGAAAATCTGACTTATTTTGAAAATTACATTCATTTCGTCTCTCTTTTATAATAACGAGAATATAGTAAACGAGAAGTGAAATGTAGTTTTATATATAGAAATATATTTATATGTATTTTTACACAAAAGTGTTTCGCCAAATTTATTTCCCAAATTTCATGGTTTCTTAAATATTATCACATTATTTATGATTTCAATTTCATTTGCTTTTTATTTCTATAACTTTAACGACACTCTACTGTACAGTATATGCGAGGACTTCAGACAGACCCACATTTTCACTAACATTTAGGCATTAAATAATTTCTTTAAAATAATGTTTTTGTGTTTATTTTTGTTGTATTTTTTCTATCATTTCTTCGGAAAAATAAGTTTCTGAAATTTGTTTTCTTAATACATATAAACATGACATTATATTTGCGTAAATTTATCTAAGTTTATGTAAATTGTGAAAATGTAAACTACTATAAGTGCACACAAGTTATGAAGTAGTTTTATAAATAATATGATATATTAGTTCAATATGTGTTATATAATAGTTTTGGTGAGTTTTTGGGGTTTTGAGATGAAAAATGCACGAAATATGCCATTTAAATGGCTTTCAAAAAGAAAATTATGAAATATAAGTAAAAATAACAGACAAGTGATTAAGGAATCAATAATATTAAAGAATATATAAATTTATATTTATATTCAGTGAATCTCTTATTGTTTCATAACATAACACAAGAGACTATAAGAAAGTGAAGAAAAAAAAATTGAAATTCAGTTTGCAGTGGAAAAGCAGTACTAAAATCTTTAACAAAAATATTTGATGCGATTTATGTCACAATTGGACAAAGAATTGGATTTTTATCTCAAAAAATTCAAAATAAATGGAATTCAAAGACTTGTTTCTTATAGCTATTTATACTTACATTACAATAGCCTTTGCTTTGACTTCAAATTATAATCGATTTTGAAATATTGATATACAATCAGTCAATCTATACTCAAATCATCATATTATAGAAATAACTTTCAAATCGCTATAAACATCTCTCTCTCTCTCTCTCTCTCTCTCTCTCTCTCTCTCATTCATCTAATCATCAATAAAATGGTGAACAGAATTAATTGGACCGTGAAATGGCATTCACTTTGTATGCAATCATACAAATTAAAGTCTTTGCGTAAAAAAATTGTGTCACAAAATACACTGCATTTTTATGCATACATTTAGGACCAGAAGTCTAGTGTTAAACGTCTTCTCCCTCAAGGAGTTTGACTTAAAGCTACTGAAAGCGTAACTAATTTACAAAAATGTCGGTCTCTATCGAGTGGTCAAACCGTATGACTTTCTCCTCTGTTGTTGAGATATACTGATTGCTGATGGGATGGACTGAGTTGTTGTTGATGTAGCTCTCCATCATGTGCTGATGCCATCGAAACGATGACATACTTCTCTCTCTCTCTCTCTCTCTCTCTCTCTCTCTCTCTCTTCCATTCATCTAATCATCAATAAAATGGTGAACAGAATTAATTGGACCGTGAAATGGCATTCACTTTGTATGCAATCATACAAATTAAAGTCTTTGCGTAAAAAAATTGTGTCACAAAATACACTGCATTTTTATGCATACATTTAGGACCAGAAGTCTAGTGTTAAACGTCTTTGATGTAGCTCTCCATCATGTGCTGATGCCATCGAAACGATGACATACTTCTCTCTCTCTCTCTCTCTCTCTCTCTCTCTCTCCGCACACAATATAAGATTGTTTGCTCTCCAATACTGTATAGACAGACAGTAACAGTAGTTTAGTATTGAAGCGAACCATTGGGTCGATCTCTTCTCTACTCTTCTTCTTTATTTAGTCGCAAGTCTTTCCTCTCCTTTCGAGTCACTTATTCTTCAATGTTCTTCAATGTTAGCCATTCTTTTAGGGCAATGAATGTAAGCATTACTACAACCGCTTCTCTCTCTCTCTCTCTCTCTCTCTCTCTCTCTCGTTTCGATGTAATTCTTGGACTCAATTCCTGTTTCCATCTCTGCCTCCAAATGTATGAGCACTCAAATGAATGTGCAGTTAGTGTTGTCTAACAGTGCGCTCGCCGTTCACTGTCTTCACTGTCGGATGAATTTAATGAATTGTTTGCCGCAACCATTAGTAATACACTATTCATATGTGTTTCACAATATAAAGCCATCACATCATCACATATACACACAATTCCTTTACATTGCCTTTCCTTCCCATTATTTATAATGTATGTATGTTTTCAGCCAATTGTTCACTATTTTGCTCTCTCTCTCTCTCTCTCTCTCTCTCTCCTACATACCAGTCCCATTCATTCACTGCCTTCCCCTCTATCTCTTTAATACCCCATCATTTTATTGTCTCCACTGATGAGAAAATGCGATTTTAGTGAATGAATAAAAATACAATATATTCAACACTAACGATATCACAATGAAAGAGAAAAAAGTTTGTTTTCTATTCAATAATACACTTAAAATATACACAAAAAACAACAACAAGAATAACTCTCCTCTTTAATGATATTCATTCAATTTGTTCATAATATACAAAACCTTAAAGTATATGTATGTTAACGATATTGAAAACCATTATTAAATGCAAATGTATTGATTGATTATATAAATTGTATCTCTATTTTAGGCGCAAAGAGCGATGCCGTGACCCCCGGGAGTGACGGCAGCCGAAGCGGGCCGTCGTTCTCCTTCGAGCCGCCAAATGTGGTCACGTTCTCCAACTCGACGGGAACTGTGATCCCGTGTGGGGCCAGAGGTGTGCCGTCGCCTGTCATCAAATGGGAGTCCGTAGACAACGGACAGACCATATCAGACGTGTCCGGACTCCGGATGGTTAGAGTCGACGGCAGTCTAGTGTTCCCCCCATTCAGGCCCGAAGATTACAGACCAGATATACACTCAACGCGATACAGGTTTGCACTGAATTTGTATTTATAAATCCCAATACTATTCACGTAATCTATAATGCGATCGCAAATCCCATCGCATTTGCACTCGTTGTTAGCCTTCTCTCCATACATAGCATTGTTATTGTAGATAAATCTGATGTAAAACTTTTTTGAAATCTCTCTGAATTATTCATAGCATTTGATCCGAAAAAGTAATTAGTTTTTCTGATATTTTCATATATATTTCAGCGAATTTTACATCTCTTTAATATATTTATATTATATTCTGTTTAGCCATAACTATATCAGAATTAGTGCATACAATAACATATAATAATCTACTATATGTTATAATAACAATGTTTTACATGCGTTTTCTTCAGTGCACACCAAATGGTATGTTATATTAGATTTGATTCAATAGAGAAGAGATATGATTACAGATCACACAAGAAGTTGTGTCGCGTGTCTGCCATCAACTCCTTCTCAAAGCCTTGTTTAGCAGTGTTTTATACGACTGTTTCTCATATGACTGGTATATATGATGGAGAAAAACAACTCATTTATGAATTAGATATTATAGTGCAGGTGATGGACAGGGACTCGAGCACTACTGGACTCGCTTTCATTTATATTGTATGCGTGTCTCTCCATTGTTATACACAATGTATTTATATTACATTAAGTCTTATTGAACGCAATATATGTATGCTTTTAGTGAAAAGGGTTTTTGGGAAATTCAGCACTTAATACAAGTTTGACAAAAAGGTTTGTCATACATGTATATATCGGTAAATCTCTTTGAAAAGTCGTGTCTATTTTCAAATGAAGTGAAACGAAAGGTTAGATACAGATATATATCAAGAATATATTATATATATTCTTCGCTATTATTCTCAATCCCTTTTCATACAAATGCAATACAATAGAGATTTAAGCAAATTAACCAAAACAGTAATTCATTATTTCTGAAGCAATTGCTGTAATTAAACACAATAAGAGATTAAGTGTTTCTTCACTTAATTATTCTTTATTAGTGAGTCCTTTGAAGTAGACATACAGTAGAGTAGAGTACATACCATTGCACTGATGGAAGTGATAGTGATGTATATATGGAGGGCTAACCGTACGTAAGAGTGCCATCAATACAATCGCGAAACACACATATAATACACAAGAATATCGTAACACTTTTGTATTGTTATCATATATTTTCTGTGTAGCCGTTGTGCTACTAATCCAATATGATTTGCATCAATGCACTTATTTAAGTACATTAAACCATATAATGTATTATATGTGTAGATATTTTAAGTACTGCCAGATTAAGTCTCTCTACATCTCTCTCGCATCCCAGCGACGTTTCAATCATTTACATTCACTCGTAAAATCTTATGATAACTGCCATCCCATCCATACATATATATACTGTACACACAATTACATAGAATATATAAACTGTGTATATTTTATTTGAGATGATTATGGTTAATGTTAATCATTATGTTTACTCATATGATAGGTGTATAGCAAGCAATTCTATCGGAACAATAGCATCGAGGAGTGTCCACGTGAGGGGAGGTAAGCAAACAATGCTTTTACTCTATATTAAATTACCTGACTTTCCAACTAATATCTAATAACTATATATAAGGTTATATTATTTGCTCTGTGTTTGTCAGTCACTCTCTCAGACACACTCACACTCACAATGTATTTCCCAGTCTCTCTCTCTCTCTCTCTCTCTCTAATATTGTTTTATTAATGTCTGAGGAAAAATCTCATCCCATCATTCTTGTAATCGCTAATGGATTTAATTGAAATAAATGTTCGTTTACTATAATGTGATTTCATTGTACGTATGGCTCGTATTATGAGTTTTCCATTGCATTTCGAGCCCCTAATCAGGTTTGGCTAAAGTCGTGCACTATTATCATTAGTTTTACTTTTTCTAATGTCAACCATACGAGCCATACGTACAATGAAATCACATTATAGTAAACGAACATTTATTTCAATTAAATCCATTAGCGATTACAAGATTACAGATATGCTATTAATGCCGACACTAATTGATAGCAGTTATCAATTTCTATTCCTCTAAACAATTTTCATTACGACTTTTTTGAAATTAATTTTTTGATAAATGTTTTGGTAAACAATGAGTCAAACCGTATGTTTGATTTTATTGTGTGATTATATAATCATGTCTTTAGACAAACAGTGGGCAAAAAAAGGGAGACCAGAATCGGAATTCACTGTATGTTTAATACAACTAAAAGCAAATTGAAGTTTGCGATAGAGTTGAGAGTTAGTTATATTATATGCAGTAACTTATATATAAAGTACAGTATGAGTGGGGCCACAGATTAAGCACCGGCTGATGGGATGAGATTTTTCCTCAGACATTAATAAAACAATATTAGAGAGAGAGAGAGAGAGAGAGAGAGAGAGAGAGACTTAATTATATCAAATAATTTAAAGGACTAATAAGTTATTCATTGAAAAGCTATTTATTTGGAAACATTTGGTATCATTTTTATACGATTGAAGTCTAAAGCAAACCATATTTTGTTTTTATTACAATTTTCCCACTTTAAGCGTATAATTTGTGTTTTAATCCAATTTTACAAACCATACATAAAGTGGTAAATTTGTCTCAATATTTATTTTGTTTGCTTATAATGTTTTTATTCACTTTGTTTAAAGAAATTTAAAATAAATATTTTTCGTGCAATCGATTATCTTATCTCTTATATTATATTAAAGTATTTCAATCACTATTAGATTCAAATAATTTTAAGTCAATTCTATAATCAAATGATTGATAGAATTGACTTAAAATCGAGATATAAAATAAAATAATTCATTAATCACTTATAAATTAGTTTTATATCAATTCTATTCAAATCTGTTTAGCAAATTCTTTGGTCTTTTTTTGTAGATTTTTTAAAGAAAATAAATTAAAAGAAATGTTACAAAATAAGAGGGACAGGAAGTGGAGTACAAATGTTATGAAGCAGTGAAGGGACACAAAGACATACTTCATTTAAGATCATTTGCACCCATTTCTGGCATTCTTTAGTTGACATCTCTTCAGACATTTTCCACAAGAATTTCGATTTCACTCCGATTTTAGAGTCGCTAACGTTTGCAAACCTCTACAACACGTATTAGATTCTCCTTTGGATGTGAATTATTATTAGTTATCTCTCTTTTCCCCAAACATCTCATACTTAGCCAATTCCCGCCCGAACCCACATATTAATGCCATACATAACAGTTCAGTTCAATTACTATTATAACTTTAATTATAATGTATTTTAGTATAAAACTGGAGTTTTTAATTAATATAATTGAATTGAATGCACACATTTCTGTAATAATTAAATGACTTGATTTACCTTAAATACACATCAATATAAAATTAGCAATTTATAAAAATACCATGCTAAAAGTATGTAATTACCAAATGCTAATTATAAAATGTTAGCTAATTTTTTAAATCAAAATTAACATCTCAAAGTTTAATGTATGTTTTAAAATGTGTTTTCAAGTGTTTTAAAAGAAAAGTTTCCCTGTTTTTTGGGGCCGTCGGGTATAGAGAGGATGGAAATGATAGACTAGTTTTGAGACAATCGATGCACAAACAAGAGTGAGTTTGAAACCAAATTACACACTGAATGCCAACGTTTAGAGATATAGAAAAATGTATGAAAAATGTATACTATATGTTGTGAAAGTGCACTATTGGTTATGCATGTGTTGAGTCGAGGCATAGCTATTGAATATCTGGAGTTTGTTTTGGCAAACATTCCTTAATTAAATTTGTGCTCACATTTTGAATCCACACAAACACTCAGAATCCCCTCAAAAAATGAATGACATGTTTATAAAATGAAAACTATTTGTTATCATTTGGTTATGGGATTGGATCACAATTAAAGCCAAGATTGAAATACAAGTATTGTTTGGCATAGAATTACTAGTATTTCTATAATTAGACGACTTATTGGTTAAATTGAGTGCAATTAGTGAGAAGTCGTGCTCCAAATCAATAGCTATTTTTAATCACTTGTAGTGCGGATTCACTCCTGAATTAAATGCAATCAATTATAGCGAAGGAATTAATTTGCTTTTTGTCTAACTATTTATCAATCATTGAGAATATTTATTAATCATTTCAATAGTAGAAAAATAATAGTTATTATAATTAATTTTATGGTTTGTATGCATTGTGTAATCACTTAAAAGGTAACTAACAATTATGTTATTGTAATTGTGATCTCAATTGACAGCATAATAACAGGATTTATATAAAGTTAGTGATAGGGCTGTTAGAATTGGTTCGTCATATCGACACCCACTTCAACATCAACTAAATTAAGTGCTTTTCCTTTACGACTGACAGAAAAGCTTTAAGGAAAGCAAAGTTTGCAAATTGTTTTCAAACCACAAAAACTCTTAACGAATAATTCATTGCAAACGCGAATGAATGCAAACAACTCTGTTATTGGCAATGAATGACCGCAACATATAATAGCTGTTCAGCACTGGTATAATCGGAGTGTATTCCCGGCCTGTTTTGTATGGCACAGGAGTCTAAGGAGTCTAATAGGCAATAACAACTCGCACCGGGATATCGACGTTCAGGCAATTTATTAGAGGGCTATCAGAAGCTAAGGTCAGGGCAATGGGAAGAGAGAGAGAGAGAGAGAGAGAGAGAGAGAACCAAAGACAATGGACAGGCATATCAGACATACGTGAGTAATATATGCATCGGTCATGATTTGTCAGCACAAAACTGGATGTG